AAAGAAAGAAAGAAAGAAAGAAAGAAAGAAAGAAAGAAAGAAAGAAAATGGCTGGCATTTGGGAGGATCACAAGTGTTTAGGCTAACTTGATCTATGTGATAAGACCCTGCCTTAAAAAAGAGATAGGTGGAGAGATGGCTTAGTGGTTAAGAGCATTGTCTGCCCTTCCAAAGGACCTGGGTTCAATTCCCAGCACCCACATGGCAGCTCACAACTGCCTGTCATGCCAGTTCCAAGGGATCTGACACCTTCACACTAATGCACATAGAATAAAATTATAATAATAAAAAAAGAGACAAGTGTGCCTAGTGGCATAAATCTTTAATCCCAGCACTCAGGAGACAGAGTCAGGTAGATCTGCGATATGTGAGTTCTAGGCCAGCCTGATCTATACAGTGATCTCCAGACTAGCCAGGGCTATAGGTGAGGCCCTGCCTCAAAGAAGAGAAAGAAGAGGAAGAGGACGAGAAGGAAGAGAAGGAAAACCCATAAAGCCACATGGTCACCTCTGAGGAAAATGAACAGCGAGGTCACAGTAACTTGCTGTAACAACAGGGGCGTGGTGGCCGTCAGCACCTTCCTGGTCCCAGCCCCGGGCCCTGGAGCTCCTCTGGCAGCCATCAGCTGCCCACAGCCTCACTGGCAGGATGAAGCTGTGGTGTGGAGCTTCACTACCCCCCGAGGAAGAGGAGCAGCAGGCAGAGGATGAGTGTTCAGAACCCTCGGCCGTCAGCCTTGGAGCGCCAGTACCACCCCTGAACCAGACTCCGCAAAGGCCCCTCTCGTGGAGGAAAAGATGGTGGCCACTCCCTTTTTGGACACTTACTACATTGCTAGGGATGCTGGAAGGAGATGGGAAAGTGCCTCTCTCTCTCTCTCTCTCTCTCTCTCTCTCTCTCTGTAGCAGCAGCTCTGATTATATTGATGATGCTGAGTGTCCCACTATGGCTTACACATGGTTTATAGAGGCAAAAGTCATGGGACACCCCCCCCCCATACCCTGGTCAGTAGAGTGGCTCAGAAGACACATGAAGCCTCTGGCCAGCAGCTGCAGCTGCCATCCATCATTTGGTTTCACCGTCTCCAGACTTCTGGTCCTTATTCCTCATCCACTTCTCAGAACTGACTGTCAGGACCAGCAAGATGGCTCGGAAGATGAAGGTACAGGCCATCAAGCCTGATGATCTGGGTGTAATCTCCAGATTCCACATGGGCAGAGAGAGAACTGGTTCCTGGAGGTTGTATATACACACACACACACACACACACACACACACACACTAAATTAAAAATGTCCAAACAAACAAAAACAAGTGACTTCCTATGATTTTCGAAGTCCCAAATGTCAGGACTTAGGGCTGCCCAGAATCTATGAAACATCATGACTGATTCTCCTACCTTCTTTCTCAGCCAGAACACCCAGACTAGGAGGCAAGACCCATAAGGGTCTTTGGGGGGACACATGGCTGCAAGTCAGGGACCCTGAGGCAGACACAGCCAGTCTCCCCTCTTTCCACCACCCCAGGGGCCACTCAGGTCTCAGTGGCTGGGCTGTCAGGCTCCTGTCCCTTCTGTGCCCCTTCCCTGTTTGTGCCCCTCCTTCCTTGCTGAATCATCCTGTTCCCATTGGTTCTGTTCTGGCCCTGGGCCGTACCTCCTCCAGCACTGTGTCCAGTGACCTCCAATCAACCTAGGCCACCCTTCCCTCATCTTTCTTTCCCCTGTGTGGTCAGCCTTGAGCTCCCTGATGTGTGGTAACTGAAGAGATCTGTGAGGATCTCATCAAGGACTCAGCAGAACTGGCATCGTGGGCCACTGCCCTGTCAGCCCCTGCCCATTGCAGGGTGGCTTACCAGGTTTGGCAGTTCTTTCAAATTAGTACCAGGAACTGGCCTGACCAGGGAGTGCAACATTCTGCAATGTTCCGTAGAAGGAAAGGGCTTGGTTAGCACCATCCGAGAAGCTGGGCTGGGCTGTGATGACCTGTGTCTACAGAGGGCTAGAAAAGACAGTGACTTGCTCCGGGACTCCAGGGTTGACAGCATGAGAAGTGACAGAGCCATGGAACAGCCTCCCTCACATTCTGTGAGGGCAGGAAGATTGTCTGAACAAGCCCTGAACCCTGCAAGCAAAGGGCAGTGTCGCCGCCCCCAGGAACTATGACAAGCCATTTATTCCGGGTTGATGGACGAGACTCGTAACACCCACTAATGAAACAGTCCAAGAGCTGAGCTGACATCTTGGGTCCCTGACATGTCTGTTTAATGAGAGCCTATCTCAAAATAATTATCGGTCACGAAAGGGCAAAATTTCAAGAGTCTGAAGAATAGGACCAGATATGTGACTTCATTAGTAGGTCTTGCCTACCCTGCATGAGGCCCTGGGTTCAGCCCCCAGCACCAGATAAACACTTCCTGGTAGCACACATCCGTAGTCCCCACCGCAATCCAGAGATGGAAGCAGGAGGAAGCAGTTCAAGAACGATCATCACATGAAGATTTCAAGGATAGCCTGGGATAAGAGACCTTATATTTATTTAAATAATAATAATGATGATGGGATTTTTAAGAAGAGCCTGGGGCCTGGTGAGGTGGCTCCAAGAGCTAAAGGTGCATGCAGCCAAGTCTGACGACTTGAGTTCAACTCCCGGGGCCCATGTTGTTGCAAGTTGTACTCTGACCTCCAGGCACCCGCCTCCTCCACAATAAATGGATAAAATGGGGCTGGAGAGATGGGTTAGAGGTTAAGAGCTTTGCCCTTAGCCAGAGTTCTATTCCCAGCACCCACTGAGGGAAGCTCACAGCAGCTTGTAACTCCAACTCCCTGGCATCTTATACTTCCTTCCTAATTCCTTGGGTATCCATATGCAGGCATACACACACACTAGTGTTTAAAACATGTTTAAAAAGTTCCTCACTGGATCTGGGCATGGCGGCACACACCTTTGATCCCAGCACTTGGTGGGGGTCGTGGGGGGAGGAGGGAAGAGAAGCAGGCACGTCTCTGTGAGTTCGAGGCCAGCCTGGTCTACAAAGCGAGTCAAGGACAGACAGGGTTACACAGTGAGACTCTGTCTCAAAGAGAGAGAGAGAGAGAGAGAGAGAGAGAGAGAGAGAGAGAGAGAGAGAGAGAGAGAGATTGCACTTGTTTCCTAACCAGCTTTTGGTGAGTATCCATCTGGCTGGCTGAGCAAATGGAGAACTCTGAAGATTTCTAGGTTCCTCAAGTCAAAGCTTGGAGCGCCAAGGGCAAGGAACTGTAGTTTCACAATGACCACAAGATGGCGATGGAGCGCTGTAGACAGCAGCCTCCATGCCTAGACCACCCACAGTTGTCCCTTCCTGCTCTCCAAGTGTGTTATGATCTGAGTGGATTTCTTCCACGAACCTTGGGCTTTTTCTATCTCTCATCTCTGCCTTTTTTTTTTTTTTTTTTTTCTGTTTCTATCTGCCCGTCCTTCTTCTCCTTCACCAGTGGTCATACAGAGATATGAAAGGGTTTTTTAAAAATGTTAACATTTGTGTGTGTGTGTGTTTGTGTATATGTGTGTGTGTTTAGGGGTGGTAGTTGGAAGCGTTTGGTTGGTTGGTTGGTTGGTTGGTTGGTTGGTTGGTTGGTTGGTTGGTTGGTTTTGGTTTTTCGAGACAGGGTTTCTCTGTGTAGCCTTGGCTGTCCTGTATTCACTTTGTAGACCAGGCTGGCCTCCAGCTCACAGAGATCAGCCTGCCTCTGCCTCTCCAGAGTTGGAAATGTTTTAAATGCCACATATTCACTGACACAGAAAAAAAGAGTCAGTTTTGTTTTGTTTTGTTTTGTTTTTCAGGCAGGGGTTCATTTATTCTAAGCTGGCCTCGAACTTACACATGGTTAGAATGGCCATGAACTTCTGATGTTCCTGCCTCTACTCCCCTCCCTGAGTCCTAAGACAGGCTTGCATCGATACATTCAGTGTTATACAGTGTGAGTGTTTGAACCCAGGGCCTTATGCATGCTGGGAAAGTCTTTTACCAACTGAGCTATGTCCCCAGAAACCCTCACAGTTGAATGGTGCCTGTCCTCTGGTACCTCATTGCCTTTCACAGGTTGGCTAGACTGGATACAGGCAGGCTTTCTGTGTCCATTCCCAAGCTGATCACTTGGACGGTAAAGCAAAGCTTTCTGTGGGCCTCAGCTGCCTATACCAGGTTCATTTCCCAAATGGGTCATAGCCCTCACCCACTGTGCAGGTGAGACCTGGCCCAGCCCAGCTAGCACCAGCAGCCTTTCGGCGCCTTGGTTTGAAGGCTTGGGGCCAAGAAGAGATCCCTGAGAGTTCTGAACCCAAGCAGAAGGAGAACAGAGCCCCTGTATGGCTTGAAATGGCTTTGGGGTCTCTGGGAGGCCCAGCCCGCTTCTCAGGGCCACTCTCTCACCACAAACACTTCCCTCCTGGATAGAAGGCCCTCAGATGGAAAACATTCTCCTTTCCCTCTGGGATATTTCCGGTGTCTAGTAAGAGCCATATGTGCCACTGTTGTGGAGAAATGGCATTTCAGGACTCCAGTTTCACAACACCAACCACCGCCCTCTGCTCCCCACTCTGCAAGCCTGAGTGTCAGTAAAGGGTATTGGCTTAACATGACCACTAGCGGTAATTCGAGTCTGCTTTGCAAATATCTGCCTAGTGCCAAACCCCACAAAAGCTTGCTTCCTTTCCTGTGGGGTTAGAATTAAACACACACACACACAGCGGGCTATCTATGTATGTTGCAGACTGTGTGTGATTGTTTGACATTCTCTGATTAATTTGGTTTCTTGGTGTCTAGAAAATAGTTATCTTCCTCCAGATGTGTTCTTAGTCAAATATGGAGTCATGTGATCAATTGTGTTTCCTTTTTCTCGTCGGCTTCCAGGAAGCTCAGTAATGAAAATAATAGTTTGCATATCTCAGTGGCCTCCCTTTATTGTAACATCATCCTTTAATTTTTATTTTATTATTATTATTATTATTATTATTATTATTATTTTGGTTTTTTGAGCTAGGGGTACTTTGTGGAGCGCTAGCTGTCCTGGAACCCACTCTGTAGACCAGGTTGGCCTTGAACTCACAGAGATCTTCATGCTTCCCAAATGCTGGGATTAAAAGTATGTGCCGCCACTACCTGGCTTGTTTTCTAATTGTAAACTGCTCCCATTCTGGTTTTCTTTTTCATTTTTATTTCTGTTTTGTTTTGTTGAAACAGAGTTTCTCTATGTAACAGCCTTGGCTGTCTGGAACCAGCTCTGTAGACCAGGCTGGCCTCGAACTCACAAAGACCTGATTGCCTCTGCCTCCCGAGTGCTGGGACTAAATGCGTGTGCCCCCGCGACGCCCGGCTCATTTTTATTTTTATACAGGTCTCACTTGTATGCTGGCTCAGGCTGGCCTGGAACTCACCATGTATACAGTTCAGGGTAACCCTGAGCTAACAGCACATTCTCCTGCCTCAGACAGGCAGGAATAATAAGCATGGGCCTCCACACTCGGCGTCCTGTCCCTTTTTGAAAGCAGGCAAATCTTCAGGGGTTCATCCAGTGAAAGCCATGAATAGAGTTGATCACTCCCATGGCACACACCTGAACCTGAGCCCTGAGAGGTCAGGGCAGGAGGGTAAAGAGTTCAGAGTCCTCTTGGCTACTTATCAGGTTTGAGGCTAACTTGGGCTACACGAGACCTTTGTATCAAAGGAGAAAAGAATAAAAACACACACATACACACACACATAAGGATGGAGAGGGCACTATCCAGAGCATTGACGAGAGTGGCATAGGTGGGGGAGCTGAGGCTCAGAGGGGCCAAATGGCCATCGCAGACCAACAGTTGAGTGGGGTTCACACCCAAACTTGTTAGTGCCACCCTGACCCTCAACCAGGGAACACATGCCCCTGCCTGGAGCTCCCCTCCTGGGTAAGAGCCAAGCACTGCCAAGTACCCCCAGCTGGCATCCAAGCAAGGTGGCTTTGTCCACAGAGGGCCCAGGGAGGATTCACCCAGCCCTTCAGGAGGCCGTTTGGAGGGTTGAGCTGAGAGGTTTTAGAACATCTATTATTTTGACTTAGAAAATACTATTTCTAGGAATCTGCGCTATGAACATGATCCACAGTATGGAAAAATTCCTTGCCAAAATATGTTCACAGTGGGCTGTTTATATTGCTTAACATGGAACCAAAGCAAATATTTGATAGCCCAAGAACACACAGTGTTCACACAGTGATGACACTTATGGGGACAGTTTTATCCATTTAGTCTAGGAGCTCTGGAGTAGACAGGCGCAGCTGTGAGGAATAAACTGGCCTGGCATAGTTTTACGTGCTGGTAAGCCAGCGCTTTGGAAATGGAGGCTCCTCCGGGGTTTAAGCTCAGCCCTGGCTGCTCATTGAGTTTTGAGACCAATCTGGGCTCTCTTTCAAAACATGTCTGCACAAAGGGGGGGCGGCACTTTTTGGCCATGTAAGCCATACTTCTAATATTCTGCTCTGAGATCAGGGTTAGAGCTTGGCTTTCCTCAGTGCCCTATGGCTTTGAGAACAGCCAAGGATGTTCTGTGACTCCTGATGTGTTTGAGAACACAGCTGTCGCCTCAAAGCCAAGAAGAGATTATTCCGGAGTGAAAATTGTGAGTGACCATGGCCCCAGAACATGAATTTAGGTTACCCCCAAATACTATATTCTGACCCAGTAATAGTGGAATGAAGGTTTCCTGATAACACAGCAAGATGCAAGTGTAAGTGGAGGTAGTTTTCATATACATCTGTGGGAAACAAGAGTAGGCCAGCAAAGGAGAGGCAACCCTGCCTGCACCCGGGCTCTTGGTGGGAGTCAGGCGTCTGTACCCTCCAAAAGGGTTTGCCAAATAACAACAACAACAACGGTCACACAGAGAGATGGCCAGCAATGAATGACTATTAAAAAGCTAAAAGTGGGGCTGGAGAGATGGCTCAGCGGTTAAAAGCACTGGCTGCTCTTCCAGAGGACCCAGGTTTGATTCCCAGCATCCACGTGGCAGCTCACAACTGTCTGTAACTCCAAGACTCAGGGAATCCCGTATTCTTTTCAGGCACACATATAGTACACACACACACTGAAATGTTATTGAAAAAGCATGAGTCAACTGATATTCTCTGCGAGAGGTTTATTAGGAGGGAGGGGGGAAGGGGGAGCAGGACATGGTGGGGAGAGAGAAAGGGAAATGGAAAGGGGGGTGCCCCAAGAGAGAGAGGGGGAGAGAGAGAGAGAAAGAGAGTAGAAGAGTGTAAGAGAGAGAAAGAGAAAGAGTGTGAGAGAGACCACGTGTCGGGGTTAGCCCTTTAAGGGGCAAGCTAACCACGCCTTCCAGGTGTGGCCACCTGGCTGGCGACACATGATGGCATCATAAGTTGCTGGGTAACCCAGGAGCAGGTTGTGTTTCAAAATACTAACACACACATTTTTAAAACTGGGCATGGTGGCAAACACCTTTAGTCCCAGCACTCAAGGAGGCAGGCAAGCAGATCTCTGTTAGTTCAAGGCTAGTCTCTTCTACAAAGGGAGTCTAGAACAGCCAGGGCTATTAAAGAGAGAGAAACCCTGTCTTGAAAAAAAAAAAAAAGAAAAGTTTTAAAAATCCTTTTTTGTTGTTGTTATTTTTGTAACTTGATTTTGTCTGTGTTTTTTGAGACGGGGTTTCTCTGTTTACCCTTGGCTGTCCTGGACCTCATTCTGTAGCCCAGGCTGACCTTGAACTCAGGAAGGCAGATCTCAGCCTGGTCTATCTACAAGGTGAGTTCCAGGACAGCCAGGGCCGTTCCACAGAAAAACCCTGTCTCAAAAAGCCAGTGTAAGTTGTCTTGCACTGGTGTGGCTGTCCGGGTCTTTGTTGTTTTTCTTCTGAGAACTTGACACGGGGGGCTGCCTGTTCACACATGCCACTCCACCCAACCTGGTCCCCTCCCGGTTCTGTTTTCCAGTCCCCGGTCATGTTTTCTTCCAGGTCTGTTTCGTAGGTCTCCAGCGTTCCGTCTCAGAGCTCAGGCCTGGCTCTCTTTCCCCAGCAGCCTACAGGTCAGGGGTCAATGTTCTGGGAGTGACTGTCACTCATTCTTTTTTTTCTGGCTATCAAAGGTGCAGATAATTAATAAGAAGCTGGATCTTAGCAACGTCCAGTCCAAGTGTGGCTCAAAGGACAATATCAAACACGTCCCGGGCGGCGGCAGCGTGAGTACGGCCACACCCCACGCGGTGTGCCCCGGCTTTCGCTGTGAGAAGTGTCCTGAGTGTGCACTTGGGAGACATTGCATAGAATAAATCATCGCAGGCTCGGGGCCTCCCTCCCTATGTTCGTTGGAGGGCCCAGCAGAATAGGGATGGCAATTGGCTTCCGCTGTCTCTTTGCCGAGGAGCTGGGTCCCCACATTACCTTGTCTGTGTTCCCAGAAGCCCCACAGCTATTGGCAATGTGGCTGAAGACAGTGGCCAACACCCCTTCCTCATCTCTGGGGCAGGTTCTGCTGTGGATGGTCCATATGACCTGAGTAGACACTAGGACTTCCTGTCCCATGCCGGGCTCAGAAAGGGCCCTAGCTAACCTAAACCTAAACACCATCCATTTTTCTTCTGGGTCTCCTTCATCTTTGAGAGAGGTAACAATTTCCCAAGCCTCTCGGTTAAATTTCAATTCCTCCCCTACTCCCCACCCCCCAATACAGGGACTCTGGTTGCAAAGATCCTAACAGACCAGTCACAGGTGACATTGCCTGCAGCCAGTTGGCCAGAGATAGGCAGTTAGGGTTTTAAGTTTGTCCTCCTTTAACCACCTCCGGGGACCGGCACATCTTCAGCCAGTCCCTGTGAGATATTCTCAGGCTCCCTCCATGGGCTTAGGGACTCCCTTGTCCTCCTGGCTGGCCTGTGCCTGCAGGATATGTACACTGGCCTCAGTTTTCTCCCTGCCAGCTCCCTCACTCCCCCACCCTGGGCTCTCTGTCAGTCCCAGAAGGAACCCAGGCCCTCTGAAAGCAAGTTCCGTGCTGGCTCAACCTTGTGACTGCTGGGAACACTGGGATGGGCTCTCTTCACCGAAAGGGCCTCGGCCCACAGGGTTTATTCTTGCAATGTGCTTCTGACTCCCGCCCTGGCACCCGCCCTGCCTTCTGACTCTTGGACCTTTGGCCCCAGAGCAGCAAGTGCCGGCCCCGTGGCTACTGCTTTCTCACGCTTACTCACAGTGTCTGCCTTCTCTGTCTTCCACTCCCCGCCGGTCACCCCACCTCCCATACTTGTTTTTCTGCTTCAGGAGAAAAGGCGGGGCTGTTGGCTACACGGCAGTTCCTGCCCAGTCTGATGCCCTGTGAGGGTATACTCAATAAATGGGTTCTGGAAAGAGATGTGTGGCGGAAAGAGGTGGGCTTTAGTGATCGATGTCCTTGTCCCTGGGCCCTGTAATGTCATTTATGATACTCTGGCTTCCCAACCCAGGCTTCCCTTGTGGCTGGAGAGGAAAGCCAGGGGTGTCTGGTTTTGCTCAGGTCTGGTCTGCTGCTGGGGTTGCAGCTCTGGCTCCTGTGGGCTGCAGAGGGCAGATGCTCCCTCCTGCAGGGGAAGTCGGGCAGAGCCGGCTCAGGGCAGCTCTGGTCACATGCTGGTGGCCGAATGAGGCTCCAGGGTATCAGGGAACTTTCTATTGTGTACTGCAACGTGTCTGCCTGTGAGCTAGCCTATGACCTTGCATAGAGTCACAAGATAGCCCGGGCTGACCACGAGGGCTGTCCTTGGCCTGTGGCCCCTGTTGACTACAGGATGAACCTGCAGAGGAAGTTCTCTTGAGGGAGGGGAAGGCACTGGTGGTTACAGCCTCTGGCAGTTTGGGGTGTAGGATCCTGGGCCAGGGCTGCACATCTGGCTAGCTCCTGGCTGCCTCTAGGCAGACTGCTTCTCCTCCAGCTCCACTTCCTGGCTGGGCTGTGGCCTCCTCTCCAGGGTTGCTCTGTGATATCTAGCCAGAGCTTCTCCCCAGTGCCACATACATTCCTTTCTCCTATAGCTAGTCCAGGCTTCCAACATCGCCTACCGCCCCCCTAAAATACAAAACACCATCAGCACAGCTGTACATGAAAACGAGAGGGGTTTGTCCATTGAGACCTCTGTGGAAGGTGCTTGCATGCTACAGGACAGGAGAGGAGCCTCTCCCTCCTTGGAATGGCCCCAGCCATGATCACTAAAAGCGGCAGTCAGCGACCAGCCATCTAAGCTGTAAAACCACAGTTCTGAGAGACCAGCTCTCAGGAACTCCATCTGCACGGGTGGTCTCTGTCAGGGCGTCCTCTCAGGGAAGCAACTGTCATCCCCTTCCCCCCCCACCCCTGTGGGTATTGCCGCAGGGCCGCCACGCAAAGGACGTTTGGGCTGGTGGGTCTCCCTGTGTGTCCCGTCTGCTCACTCACACTTGCTGAGACACTCACTAAACCTGCGATTTCTGCTGTGTGCCTGCCCTGCCTGTCGGCGTCGCTTTGCTCTTCTCAGTAGAAGCTGGAGTGTCCGGGAGACTGTGTGTCCAGACACCCAATGGCTCCTGCCCTGAGCCACCGTGCTGCTCCGGGTCCTGTCTGCCCACTAGTGGTCCAGGACTGTGGGAGCTTCCTGGATGAAGCGCACCCGTCCTCATCTTTGAGTCCCTTCTGAGGAGATTGTCCGAAGGGCTGCGTAGCCCTGTCACTTCTTCTCCCGCTGGTTGTCACTGGTCGGTCCTTCCTCAAGAAAAGGAGTTATGTTTTTTTATATTTAAATATCCACTAAATAGATATTGTGCTCGCATAGAAAGACCAGGCATCCCTGCTTTTCCATGAGAGGCTCGTGTGTTTCCAGGATTGAAGATGTTCAGGTCCCACAATTTTTTTTGAGGACCCAGCTTCCTGGGGCATGGGGGCTGGCTGGATTTGGGTGGGGGGGCATATTTTCCTCCCTGAGTGGGATGTATCCAGTAGCGGATGGGAGCCACCGACAATTGGTCCATCGGCTTTTGCGTTGTCTTCCCCCCCAGTAACACAACCCTCTTTATTCTTTTTCCATCCTCTCTGACCTGCAGGTGCAAATAGTCTACAAGCCAGTGGACCTGAGCAAGGTGACCTCCAAGTGTGGCTCATTAGGCAACATTCATCATAAACCAGGTAGCACTTGAGGAAGGCAGGCTTTGGGACAGGAGAGCACTGACTGGGCTGGAGGGTGCTCCCTGAAATAGGCTAACCTGGGCAAGTGACTGTTAAATGTGAAAGTGTTCCTGTGGCCTGGGACTGGGACTGTCCCTGCTGGCTCCTGAGCAGGGCCTTTTGTCAGCCTAGATGAAGGGTTCCAGAGTTCATCCTGTGGCTCTCCAAAAAAGCCTGTATAAAAGGACCAGCCGTGGTTCTGATTGGGCTGGCTCTGTGGACATCTCAGCTTTGTCCCTGCCAGCATGGGGGACACTTCATCAACCGCACCAGCTGCACAAGCCCGAGCTGCTGTCCTGTCCTCGCTGTGACCTTGTTTAAACCAAGCACCCTTCCCAGGAAAACCAGGCAGGCTACCACACCCTGGTGTGGTGACCCTAGTCAAAGAGGGAGAGGGAGTTTTAGGGTCTCCCCTCATTGTGCGTTTGGCATGCAGTTTGAGTCCAAGGTTTTAAGGGGCCTGCCTACAGGATGCTAATACGAAAATCTCTACCCCTGGAAGATATCCGGTTTAGAACTTAGCAAGCCTTTTCTCGGCCAAGTTTCATGTGCCTTTGAATGATCTCAGGAGTAAATGTCAGTTAGAAGAGGCAGGTAGTTTGCAAGACCTTTCGAGGGCTGTCTTATGCCTCAGCCTCCTTCTAGGCCAAGTAGAGCCCTGGCAGCTTCTGGGGGTTGGTTGGGCTGTTCTGCAATCACCTGCCCAGCCTCTGTCTGGAGTCTGAGTGCGCATGTTTTCCAGTGCTCCCCTCCTGAACCGTAACACCTGACCTCCTTTTTGACCGAGCCACCAGCAGCCCCAGGCACTTTGCTCTGCTGGCTTCCAGCTGGAGCTCATTTAAATATTCTAAGTCCCCCCCTACCCCCACCCCGCCCCTAGACTACAGAAGAGGGCGAGCTGGCCAGGGCCAGCAGCATTTGTGTGGTTGTGTTCCAGGAGGAGGCCAGGTAGAAGTAAAATCAGAGAAGCTGGACTTCAAGGACAGAGTCCAGTCGAAGATTGGCTCCTTGGATAATATCACCCACGTCCCCGGAGGAGGGAATAAGAAGGTAAGGGGGAGCCATAAGGGGAGGTGATGTGGGGAGACGTGGTTGAAGCTGGGCCCAGAGAGGTGGCTCTCAACCTGTGGGTCGTGACCCCTTGGGGGGTGGAGGTTCACATATGGGATATTTATATTACGGTTTATAACCGTAGGAAAATTACAGTTATGAAGCAGCAACAAAATAATTGTGTGGCTGGGGGTCACCACCGAATGAGGAACCATATTGAAGGGTCTCGGCATTAGGAGGGTTGTCCTGGAGGGTCCCATATGGACTATCTGGAGATAGATTCTCTCCCACTCAGCTGAGTGTACCAAGAACAAGGCCAGATCAGAGATCAAAGGCAGATCTTTCCCACTGGTTACCAAAGAGCTGGAGTGAAAAGAGTGGTGCTGACTGGGCACGTGGCCCAGCTGGCAGAGAGCTTGCTCAGCATGCACAGAGCCCCAGGCCCCATCCCCAGCTGCATAAATTGGGCTTAGTTGTGCACACCTGTGATCCCAGGTGGAGGCAGGAGGATCAGGAGTTCAAGGTCACCCTTGGTTAACCGGGTGTGGTGGCACACGCCCATAATCCCAGCTCTAGGGAAGGGCAGAGGCAGGCCAATCGGATGGCTGTGAGGCCAGCCTGGTCTACAAAGCAAATCCGGGCCAGTCAAGGCTACACAGAGAAACCCTGTCTCAAAAAGCCCAAAAAAGAAAAGAAAAAAGATCACTCTCAGCTACATAGTAAGTTTCAGGCCAGCCTGTGCTACACAGATTCTCACCAGACAGACAGACAAAGCCAGTGGAGCTGAAACCTCCGTCCATGGGAAGGGAAGCGCTCACCCAGGCTGCTGCACCTGTAGTTCCCAGTGGGGTCTCCAGGCTAAGGACTGGCTACACAGTGGGATGGCATGGGTAGGGTAAGGGAACACAGGTGTGTGTGGCTCCGAGCAAGCTTCTCTTCACAGGGTGAGGCTGCCCTGCCCCCACACTTGCCTGCCCCTGCATTGTGGAGAACCCTAGGCAGGGTCCTCCCAGCAAATGACTGAACAGAGGAATGTGCTGGACTCAGACCCAGCCTGGCATGAGAAAGGGCACTTCGCCAAGGTGGCTCAGCTGTCTTTCCACTTGGCCATGTTGGGTGGCCACTGTGAGTTCCCTGCCTGGCCAGTCCCCACAGCTTCCCACTTCCTTCTGCAGCCCCATCTGTTTGCATCTGCTGCTGTTTGTGCCCACGCCCTGGCATTACTGGGAAGCTCCTGCTGAGCTGATGAAATGCCTGACACAGAGCCCTCAGGCTGAGACAGCCTTGCCCCTGGATGGCAGGTCCTCTGGTCTTCAGGACCCCAAAGTGGACATGGACCTTTACTGCCCCAGGGCAGGAGACCTTTCACTCTTGGAAGTTGTCAAAAGCAGAAGACAGACAGGAGGCCATGCCTCACGGCTGCCAGGCAGGGCCCCTCCTCTAGGAAGGTGGGAAAGCATCTTCAGTGATGGCCAGAGCCCTGCTATTTCTGCCACATGACTGCCCAGTTTAAGAGTATGTTGTCCCCTATATGAGGCTCTTGCCCCTGGGGTCCCCCCAGAGTCAGGCTTGGCTGCACCTCAGAGTCTGATTCAGTGGAGCTGAGGCAGTTCTGCGCCTTGGAGATTCCCTAGGTAAGGGACGTTCTCCACCAGCCTGGGAGCTTTTATGCATAGAGGAAATTCTGGGCAGGCAGGATTCCCTTGGAGGCCTGATTTAGACAGATCTTCAGCCCCTCAGACTGTTTCTCCTTCAGAGAAATACCTGCGCCCCAGAGGTAGGGTGAGATCCAAGCAAAGGTGTCCTGTATCCTAGGACCGGGGCACAAGGCACAGGTGGCTCAGTAGTTCCGTGTCATCCTGAGCTGCACAGAATTGGAGCCGGTCCCGTGAGACCTCATCTCACAAAACCAGGAACAGCTGGGCTTATTGGCCCCAGCACTTGGGAGGCAGAGGCAGGTGGATCTCTGTGAGTTTAAGGGCAGCCTGGTCTACTTAGTGAGTTCCAGGACAGATAGGGCTAATAGAGTGACCCTGAAACACACACACACACACACACACACACACACACACTCACACACACTCACACACACTCACACACCTTTATCAAAGCTTCACTCAAATATCAATTACTTCACCTTTCAAGTGCAGTAATATGGAAGGTTCCTCTTTGCCTAAAAGAATAGCATACACATGTAGCCTAAATGAAAGCCTGATATTTCTCTGTGCCTACATTCAGGGCCCCTGCAAGAAGGGTTCTTTACCTCCAGGGACCTCAGACGTTGTATAGAAATGCAGTATGTGTGTATCAGACATGTGGGTGCCCACGGCTCAGAGCTTGGTATCCAGAACAAAGTTGAGGCATTTTGTGTCCGCCATTTTAATATGTAGAGACTGTTAGGCACGCCTCAGACTGCCACCTCATGTTTTCTGCTCTGCTTCCTTTTGGACTCCTGGCTATGGCATTGTTCTCCTCCAGCTACTGTGTGTGTGTGTGTGTGTGTGTGTGTGTGTGTGTGTGTGTGTACATGCATGCAGAGGCCAGAGCAGAACATCCGGTGTCTTCCTCTATTACTCTCCTCTCTATTGCCATGAGACAGGGTCTCCCACTGAACCGGAAGCTTGCTGCTGCTGCTAGGCTAGCTACCAGTGAGCTCCTGGGACCTGTTTCCATCCCTCAGTGCTGAGGTTACAGGCTACAGGCACGCACAGCCATGCCCTACTTTATTATTTGCGTGCCAAGGATTTGAACTCAGGCCTTTGTGTTTGCAGAGCAAGTACTCCTACCCTCTTAGCCACCTCCCCAGCCTGTGACATCTTTTCTTAAGGAGGGCTTCTTGACATCAGACCTTCTAGCACTCAGGCCAGTGCCTGCACCTGAAAGTACTTTAGTGCTCTCTGGCAATTGTGTGTGTGGTTGGTGGCTGTTGGCATCTGTGGTCCTACTTTCAGCCCTTTTCTCTTTTGTGGCTTTTTTTTTAAATGCTTGTAGCGGTGAGTTGGCAATACTCTAGCAGAGTCCAGAGCTGGCTGTGTGGCGCAACGGTAGAGCATTGGCAACAGCTTGGCATTCTTGAGGCTATGGTTCCATCCCCAGCACCGATAGTCAGACAGACAGGGTGACTGAGTAAAGAGCCCTTACGTTTTTTTTTTTTTTTTTTTTTTTTTTTTTTTGCCATTACATTTTTAGGATACATTTACACACATGTAAAATGTACAAGGTCACGCAAGGTTATTACCAGCCAGCATCATTCATCGTTCGGGGCGGCAGGAGGAAGGAACCGCCTCCGCCTCCATCAGCAGGGAGCAGGCAGATTTTGATGCACAAGGCACAGTGGGCTAGCTGTTGGCATGAGGAAGCTCTTTGTGGAGTAACAGAATACCAAGCTTGACTCTTGCTGGCACACACATGCAATCGCAGTAATCGAGAGACCGAGGGACAGCACGTTCCTGGCCAGCCTGTGCTGCTAAGTAAGATCTTGCTTCCAAAAAACCAAGCCAGGCCAGTGAGATTTCTCAGTGGGTAAAGGTGCTTGCAATCTAGCCTGATGCCCTGAGATTGGTCCCCAGGACCCAGATGTTAGAGGAGAGGACCAGCTCCCGCAAGTTGTCCTTTGATCTCGCATGCTCTAGAGCACATGAACACACACACATATAAACACACACACACACACAAATGTGAAAATATTAGACATACAGCCAGGTGTGGTATCACATGACTTTAATCCCATCAGTCAGGAGGCAGAGGCAGGCAGATCTCCATGGTTACCAAGCCAGACTGGTCTACATGATGAGTTCCAAACAGGCCAGAGCTACATACTGGTGTCCTGTCTCAAAGTAAATAAATAGAGCAATTAATTAATTAAAAAAATAAGTGAGCAAGGACGAAGCAAGCATTAAGTGTGAAAAGTAAAATGCAAAGCCCTGGGTATATTGTTCCCATATGGGTTAAATACATGTGTTTACTTGTTCGTGCAATGCGATATTTAAAAGACACAAGCGGTGGTCACTGTCATTGGGTAGGCAGATGTGGGATGGACACACAACTATTGCTAATGGGAAAACAGTAAAAACAAGTAGGGGTGGTGGCTCCTGGGCCTGCAAGTTAGTTGGTGAACTGTCTGACCATTGACTAAGCCAGGTGCTTATACCTGTGACTCCAGCCCTGGGGACAGGGAAGCAGGAATATCCAGAGTCCAAGGTTATCCTCAGGTGGATAAGAATTCCAGGCTAGCCTGTGCTACGTGAGAGCCAGTTACAAGAATAAGTAGATAGCAGGACATGGCAGCACTTAGGAGGCAGAGGCCAGCCTGGTCTACAAAGCAAGTTCCAGGACATCCAGAGAGCTACACAGAGAAACCCTGTCTCAAAACAAATAAGTTTAAAAAGAAAAGAAGAGAAAAAGACAGCAGTTTCCTCTGGGTTTCCTCACTGACTGTGCAGACAGTCGGCTCTCGCCTGCTTTCCCCAGCACTGTTTCTTACTCATCTCAGCCTCTACTTCTTGCAGATTGAAACCCACAAGCTGACCTTCCGGGAGAATGCCAAAGCCAAGACAGACCATGGAGCAGAGATCGTGTACAAGTCGCCTGTGGTGTCTGGGGACACATCTCCGAGGCACCTCAGCAACGTGTCCTCCACGGGCAGCATCAACATGGTGGACTCACCGCAGCTTGCCACGCTAGCCGATGAAGTGTCTGCTTCCTTGGCTAAGCAGGGTTTGTGATCAGGCCTCCGGGGTGGTCAGTAATTGTGGAGAGAAGAGAGAGTGAGAGTGTGTTAAAAAAAAAAAAAAAAAGAAAAAGAAAAAGAAAAAAAAAAAAAAAAAGAATGATCTGGTCCCTGGCCCTCTGCCCTCCCTGCTGCTCCTCACAGCCAGGCTTGACTGGCTATCACCTAACCTGCTTTTGTGGCTCAGCTTTGGCTCGGGACTTCAAAATCAGTGATGGGAATAAGAGTAAATTTCACCTTTCCAAATTGATTGTGGGCTAGTAAAATAAAATAATTTTTAAGGAAAAAAAAAAAAGTAAAAACATGGCCAAACCCAACACTTTCTTGGATAATTGCTATTGATTTTCCCCTACCCCACCCTCCCTTTCTTAAGTATTAGAGGGTGAAGGAGGCTCTGGAGGCTGCTGTTGGGGAGTTTTGAGGGTCTAGGGCAACTAATAGCCCACAGCCTCATCCTAGGGGCATCAGGGACGGTGGCAGCAACAAAAGATTTGAAACTTGGTGTCTTCGTGGAGCCTTCGGTGGGTGACATTAACGTGAGAGAGAGGACTGATGGTAGCGAAGGCTGAGAGACGGATGTGCTGGGAGTCAGAGGGGAGAGGTGAAGAAGACAGGTTGGGAGAGAGGACACTGGCTCCTGCCAAGCAGTTTGGGAAGCCCCAGCTATCTGCAGCAGCATGCTTGGATGGCACAGCTGCCTGTTTGGTAAGGGCCTGGGGAGTGTTGTGGGTCTGGGTGACCTTCCTGTAGGGCATCTCGTGGGAGTAGGGACACTGGGCAGAAGGAAGGTAGGCTAGAAGGCGGCACCTTGTAGATTGGTTCTCTGAAGGCTGAGCTTGACCCCCCCAGGGCCCTCGCTACTTCCTCCCTCTCTGTAGGGCGGGAGTCCTGAGCTGAGGAGCTTCCCTTTGCTCTCACTGAAAAACTTGCTTTACTATGTTCTGAAGTTTGGAACTGCTGTCATGATTTTGGCCACCTCACAGACCTGGGACTTTAGGGCTCACCAGTTCTTTGTAAGGACTTGTGCCTCTTGGGGACATCTACCTGTTCTCAAGCCTGGTCCTCTGGCACTTCTGCAGTGTGAGGGATGCGGGTCCCAGGCCTGCCATCCCTGCCATCCCTCCCACAGTCACTGCAACCCCTCTCCCTGCCCTACATTGCCCACGTGTCTGCCACGAGAGCCAGTCACTGCCGTACTCTCATCGTGTCTCACTGTCGTGAGTGCCCAGCCTCCCCTAGTCCCAGCCCTGGCTCCTGGGTAGATGTGCCCAATACCTGCCCTACAGGAAGGAGTGGAGTCCAGGGAAGGCAAAGACTTAGGGTTTAGTCTCTAGTCCTAAATCCCACTAATCCAACCAGTGTGCCTCCCAATCACTCCCCACCCTGGATGGGAGCTGGTGTGTGCCTGGAGATGACCCTGGACACATCTGCTTTTTTTTGCTTTAGATAGCGGTTGCCTCCTAGGCTTGACCCCCTTCTTGTGTTGAGCTGGAGGCAGTAAGCCAGTGTACTGCTACCAGTGTGAGCAGGCAGGAGTCCCAGAGCAGGGCCACACGCCTCCTATTTTTCCCTTCCACCCCAGCTTGTGATTGCTAGCCTCCTGGAGCCCAGCCGTCATTAAGTCCCCATGCACGTAATCAGCCCTCCACACCCCAATTTGGAGGGAACATACCCCTTGATTCAAATGTTTTTCCTCCAGTCCCCAATGGAAGCGGTACTGCCTGCTCTGCTGGAGCAGCCAGACATCTCCATAAATACAGCCCTTCCTTCCCTGTCTGCACCCTGTTGCGTCGTAGTTGGATTTGTCTGTCTGTCTGGGTTCACCAGAGTGACTATAATAGTGAAAAGAAAAGAAAAAAAAAAAAAAAAAAAAAGGACGCATGTATCTTGAATATTTGTCAAAAGGTTCTAGCCCACCACAGGGGATGGAGGGCCTGGATATCTGGTCGCCATCAGGACTGGCTCCAGGCCAGTGCAGTGTCACCCTGCTGAGGCATCCCATGCTCTGAAGGGTTTCCTCTGCATCTGGGACCTCACAGACACTGGATTGTGACATTGGGGGCCTCTTAGCTGCCAAGGCCTGAAGCACAGGGCTGGCTACTCTAGAGGCAGCAGGCTCCACCTGTCAGGGAGAGCTTGTAGATGGCCTGTTTTGCAGAGTGAAGATGGTCCTCTCTAATCACAGCCTCAAGTCCCACAGCAGCCTTGAAAAACAGTCTAAAGACTCCTGCATCAGAGAAAAGGACACCAGTGCCAGCAGAGAGAGCTGTGGCCCTAGAAATTCCATGTGTCTCCAGTAGGCATCACCCGGCCCTCTCCAAGCCTTGGCCTCCTCACCACAGGGATTAGGATGTCCCACTGAGGAAGGGGACATCTTAGGAGACTCCCTTGGTTTCCAAGATTTCGGCCCACTGACCTTGCATGATTGACTTCCACAGCTGCAGGGAATAGGCCTTTGGAGATTAGGACCCTCAGGCCCAGGTCTGCCGCTTTTGGCTTAGGTAGTTAAGGACAATGTGGAGGGCAGAAGGAAGCAGCCAACCTTTCCTATTAAAGAACTCTGTGTGCCCAGAGCCATATACTGTGAGCCTCCCTACTGCCGTCAGCCTTTACCTGTCCTTACAAATGGAGGTGTGGTTTGATGGTCTGTGGTCCCTTCATCATGGTTTTCATCTTACACCTACTTACCCATCCTGCAGTTCCTGTCCTTGAATGGGGGTACTCTGCCGTATCTCTTGTAGGGCAGCCAGCCCAGAAAATCATGCTTGGGAATTATCTGGTCAGTGCTGATAGGCTTGTGACTTCAGTGAGGACAATCCCCCGGGGGGTGGGGGCTGGCTCCTGTCGTTTTCCCTCATGCCTTCCCACTCCAGAGCCAGTGTCTTTGGGTGGGCTGGAGAGGATATACAATTTGCCTGGTTCCTCCAAGCTCTTGATTCACTTTACCAATAGTTCCACTTAAATTGACTTCAATGCTAAGACTGTATCCTGTTTGAGAATACTTGTGCTGTGGGGGGAGGGGAGGGAGGTGAAGATAGTTCATATGGGCAAAGGGAAGACTTGGAGTTTAGCAGTTAAGTCACCTGTAACCCCGTTCATGATTTTGACCACTTGGCTAGAGAGAAGAGGTGCCATGAGGCCAAAGCCAGGAGGCTTGGCTGTGCCACTGACAGCCTTTCTCAAGGCAGAGGTAGTGAGCTAGTTCCTTGCCTTCCCAGCCAGGTGCAGCTCTCAGGTTTGTGTAGGTATCTATGAACTGCTCTTGCCTGCTGCCCACTTGTGGCATCCAGAGTCCCTAATTATGCCTCCTAGAAACCCTGGCTTCCCTCCCTCTGACCACTGGCACACCAATATCACCTCTGGATTGGCTTCAGATCTATAGCCTACACCACTAGCAGCGGCCAAGACCACTTCCTTATCCTAGTCGGTTCTCCAGTACAGTAAGTGGGGATGAGGGCAGGGGTGGTTGGTAACCAACTGTAGATCTGTGGCTTTATGAGTTTATGAGTTCTCTCTGGCTTCTGAAAGGGTTACTTCGGGCAGCATCTCAGTCTCACCCTCCTGATGGATTGTAGCCTGTGCAGTTACTGTGCTGGGCATGATCTCCAGTGCTTGCAAGTCCCGTGATTTCCTTGGTGATTTTGAGGGTGGGGGGAGGGACATGAAATCATCTTAGCTTAGCTTCCTGTCTGTGAATGTCCACATAGTGTACTGTGTTTTAACAATTGATTTACACTGTTGCTGTAAAAGTGAATTTGGAAATAAAGTTATTACTCTGATTAAACAAAATCTCTGTTCATGAGTTACAAGACAACAAGAGTTTATAAGTTCTTTTCCCCTCTTAGAAAATTCAGAACAGTAGCTGAAAGTAAAAGCCAGACATCAGACAGCTTTCTTGGTTCATTCTCAGATTGTACTCATTGGCATACTACACTCAATTAGTACTCAGTAGCTAAACTGACCAGGTGACAGTCAAGAGTTCCCAAGGCCAGTGCCAGTTCATTCAAAGCTGGGGTGTATGAGATCCTTCACTCCTGGAACTTAAGTGCAGGGGTCTGGTGCTGGAACAAACTCCAGCCAATCAGCTGCAAATCTCCACCTTAATATGCATGTATTGCCTTCCTACCTTGGAATCTTACTATCAATCAAGGAATATTTTCCCTAAAGACTGGGGAGCTTTTCGCTGGCAATTATCACAAAGGAAAAATGAAAGACATTACCTACATTTTTTGGCAGGCTATTTCTCATGCAGCCCAGGCTGGCCTTCATGCTCCTGCTTCCACCTCCTCAGTGCTGGGATTATAGGGCCGTACCATGCTGTTAAGGAGGTCATAGGGCCTCATGCGTGTTTAAGCAAGCACTCTACCAACTAAACAGACCATCCTCAGCCCCAATTTTTGTTGAGGGCTATGGCATGTGGTGAGAGGACCTTGGGTGTCAGCCCATCCACTAGTTTAAGACACTGTTTTCCTGCACCACACGTGGCATGTTACTCTAGTGGCTAGGTATTCTTGGGCTCCCCATCTCTCAGAGGAACACTGGGATTATGGATGCCTGGCATCTTGTTGGTTCTAGATTCAAATTCAGGGTCTTGTATATAGCACATCATTCACTGAGCCATCTCCTTCACTCTTTGGTAATTATGTTGAGGTCACAGTCCTTAGATTCCTAATTTTAAAATATTTGTCTTCCTTGGTTCCCCTGATGTGCCTAGCCTCTGCAGACAGCTATCTTAATGCATATCCAGCATATCTTAATGCATACAGAAGCAACATAAAGGTAGGAAAATGGTCTGGAAAAGATGAGCTCTAAGCCTTGGAGAAGACCCACTTGCTTAATTGATACTGTAGATGAGAACTGGGCCCTTAGCCTCCTTGTAAGTAGCTGTAGTCTCTGCCAGGTGATAAGGACCAACTCAGATACCATGCAAATTACATACATTTTCATTTAATCCCTACACCCCAAAATTTGACTGGGTTGAAGTTAAAAATCCTCACTGGAGAGAACTTGAAATTCTATACTACTGACCTCTTAGAGAAAGGAACAATGAGAGTACTGAATCAATTGTTTTCCTTCAAGAGCAGATAGTATTTCTGACTTTAGTGAAACACCCATCACATTCCCTACCCAGCATTCCCAGGCAGTGTGGGGCTGCCAGGGCTCAGGGCAGCATAGCCTCAGAGAATGCTGAGGCTATCAACGTTGCCAGATACACAGTCCAGTACTACCAAGAAAAGCCTAACACAACTTTCTGTATCTTTTTTTATTATTATTTTTTTCATTTTTCCTTCCTTTTTTTTTTTAAGCACTAGTCTGT